GTTAATTTTGTGTAGGTTGGCTTTGTTATAGGTATATTGTTCCGCTAACTTAATCTTCTTTTAGCGAAACATCATTTTTTAAATAAACCGACAGAGCAACAAATTTTTTTCTTTGGCAACTTTTTAGCAACAAATGAGCAACAAAGAAAAATGTTAGTTAAAATCGATTCCGCTCATTTTGTTCCGCTAACTTATAAGACGTAATTATAGTTGAATTAACAAGATATGTTTGGTTAAGCAAATTTTGATGAAAGTAAACAGAATGTCTAATTATTATTATTGAATATTTTGATTATGCAACCAAAACATTTAGGTATGATATTAGTTATAAGAATTTATATAGTTAGTACGTATGTAGTAATAATATCCAAGTATTTCGTTATTATAATCATATAAAGCTGGATTAATGTGGACGTATATGGTTAAATTAAAGGAGTTTTCGGTAGAACTAAATTTAATATAAACATAATTTCTGATTATCATAATTAAATAATCATGATTTAATAATATTTTAACCAAATTTTGTGTTGCTTTTATCAGAATTCATACAACGAAATGTACTTGGTTACCGTAACCAACGTAACGAAAATATATGCAGCCTGTGTGGTTATTTCAAAATTGTGGATCGTTTATATTTCACTAAGCAGGTTATTTAGATATATGTCTTTTAGATTAATTTAACCGATTTTTTTAACGCATGCCTCATTTATTAACGCTAGAAAGAATAGAAGACTAAAAAATCGAGCTTATCAATTATTTACTTTCTTCTTCTGCGGTCGGTTCGGTTAGTTTTATACAAATTTAAACTCTGACTCATCATGAATGTATTTGATCAACCGGTGCCACGAAAGACATAGTAGCATATCCAATGGGTATATATCATCTCGTAAATATGCAGGATTATGCGAGTCAACGGAATGTGATGTCATCAATGTGATATGACGCTAAGATTTCTACGAAAGCTTTACGCATTCTGCATTCATCTTATCACGCACATCATAATTATAATTTTCTTGTTAAAACTGTAAAATTTAATTTTTAACTCTCCGCTGACAACGTAGAACTTTGAACGTACAGTCAATTTTTTTATTGTCAATATTATACTGATAGATAAATTTAAACTCGTTTATTAAAAATAATTAAATACCGACTTCTGCGATAATAAAAACTCTTTAAAACTTCCACAAGTATGTAAGAATTTTTTCAGATTTTTATACAGTCTGGATATTAAAATTTAAACTAAAGTTCAAAGATCCAGGTTGCTGGGTCGGAAGGTACAAAATTATACATTGTCGACGAAGAATTAAAAATGAAATGAAATTTTTAAAAATGAAGTGAAATTTTTAGTGTGCATATTAAAATTTGGCAGATGGTCCGGACGAAAGACGGGAGAAGAGACGAGAGTCTCCGCAGAGAGGACGAGGGATTTTGTCGGATAAGAGGAGATCGGGGTTGCTGTCGCTCAGTGAGTGATAATAAATTGATTTCAATCCACGGGGGCTATATGAATCAAGGCCCGGCAAATACGCACGTGCGCGCATTGATGCACGGGAGTTCACGCTGCGGTTGCCGCAACCGCCACGAGCACTCAGTCGGGGTGCACAATCGTCGTTATTAATTTACATATTAATAGCCTGCAAACTCCATTACGCCTTACTCGCAGAAACTCCGTTCTCCACTACCGAGCGTTGGCCCCGCCGCGCGTTGAACATGAGAATTTTATTCGAATGGCGATCATGAGGGAAGAGATGATCGCGCAATCGGATGTAATTAGCGGCAAAAAGCAGTGAAGGATAAATAGGGCCTTGGGAAGACTTTAACCTCATGATATAATAGGTTTATGAGGCGCACGTAATGATAAAGAAACAGAATTAGGAGAAACAGGATTAGCAAGAGAAATACAAGAAACATTACATGAGTATATATTTATCTTATTTTTTCCAACGTAAATATCGCGTTTTATGGTGGCTGTTTTTATGATATATGTCTGTCATCCGCTCGCTAATAAGAGAAGCCGATTGAGAGGGAAGAGCCATCTTACCGGCTCTCTCTTTCTCTTGTCCTCTCGGATGTAGATGTGAATGGCGCTTGTGCAATCGCATCGATAGAGAAGGTGCAATGCCTCCAGGCATAAATAGAGGCGTGCGCCTGGGAGTCGTATCGCAATCGTAATATAGCACGGGCAAATTTATATTGCGTGTCGCGGCGGGTAATTATAAAAACCATCGTTACACCAACCGGACGGTCAAAGTGACGCGATATATTACGTTCCTATTACAATGTAACATTGCCGATCTTAAAATATATGCGCTCTCCTTCGCGTCGAATCGCGGATATGCATGTTTGTTTGATCACGATCCTGGTTACCAATTGATTTATGCACGCTGCTTCGGTTTCATAATTGCGGCAGATCGCTGTTACATGTGTAGGCAACTTGATTGCCGCGAACACGTCCGCGTACATCCCGTATAACGTATTAGATAGGTGGATAAGCGCGCTGCGGTTTTGCACAAACATTTGCGTATGACGCACGCACGCGCGATGAAAGGTACGTCGATAATTACCGTGGCATCTCCGACATACGTGAAATATTACTGTGTTATTAACGTTGATCGAACACCGCCACCAGGAAAGGACCACCGGCGTGGTTTCAATAACGATTAATAACTATTTCAGAACAGCGCGCATCCGGCGGGCTGTTAAAATTAATTGAGGTTAGCAGACGAAAATGTAGAACGGTATTATACGTGCATTTGCATAAACCGATTACGGGGAATCGCAATCGCAATCGCGATCGCTTACAAACTACTCTTTTAATACGCTTCACCGCCCGCACATTTTTTTTCCATCGATAAAGATGTCGTAGGAAGAGAAACGTCGTTGACAGTCATTGAGATGCACTCGACATTCTGAAGCGTACTTACTCTTTCCGTTTTTGTTGTACTGCTGCATGTTGCTTCTGGTCTCTTTGACGCCCTCGCGAGTGCCGAGTGACTGCCACTTGTGAACGCTGTGAGCAGACATTGGCGGGTAATCGTTTTTCGCTTGGTACCCGTTATATTGAGCTCCAGTACCACTGTCGTAGGCCCTCGGGTCTTTGTATTCGTAATGATGGCTGAGCGACGGCTTCGGCGTCGTCGTAGTTGTTGTAGTAGTCGACGTGGTGAAGGTATCGGTTTCATCCTCTTCGCCATTGTCGTCATCGGTGTAATCCTGCGCATGTAATAGTTCAGCGTGATTTAGGGAACTAAGAGCCAGTTGTTCCATCTTCAGATAAACTATATGGTAATTTACCTATTGGATAAATAAAAGAGTAAGAGAGTGAGGGCATAAGAGAATAAGAGAGTAAGACAATGAGCTGAACTTACAAAGATGGAACAACCCAGCCTAAATAGTATGAATTAGTTACAATATACATAAATACATAACTGTAAATATAAGAAATAAATTATAGATGAACATAATAAAAATATGACACTTAAATTTAACCATGTTAATTAAAGGAATTCTCATCAAGGTATAGGTTTAGATTATTATAAGGAAATAATGATTTTGCTGAAGTGTTTAAAACTTTAAATAAATAAAAATCTGAAAATAATTTTATTGGTTTATTAATTATTATGTAGAACGCTCAAACTAGCTAGAATATCAAAATTTCTTGCAACATTATTCATCATAATTTCTTACTTAATTACTTTGACGATCTAACGAAATTATTTTCAGATCTATATCTAGCTAAATTTTTAGATATATTTCAGTCACAATCTTTCTATACTTTCGTACTTGTTTCATTTTGTGATGATCGAAGAAGAAAGTGAAATACTACGAGATCGATATGAATATAATGAGAAAAAATAATAAGACAAAAGGGAGGCATCGACAATATAAAAATTCTTATATAAATATTCATCAGAGAGATAATTTTGCTTTTGCTCGTGGGTGGTCAACACGCCTTCATGAATCTTCGACAGATTTTTTCTCGGAGATAAGTTTTATAGGCAAATTTGCATCTCTCCGTGCACCTTCTCCCGCCTCATCTTGGCCGATCCGCGAACTCAAAGAGAACGGAAACCTACTTAATCGCCGTCTGCAACATCTGGAGTCTTTGATGTCGCGCCGTGTAGCAGAAACAATCCTCGCGAACGCGTGCCCTGAATCTAGGAAGTATTTTATTTAGCAGAGCTTTCGATTCCACACGCGTCTTCCGTTTTATCGGTGGATCGCTCGAGCGTCCCAGAAATTTGGACGTGGACACGTCACGTCGTTGACGAAATGAAATTGAAAACTTAGAAAATAAAAATAGAATTCAGTTTATTTAAGCGCTATATGATATTTAAGAAATTATGAGCAATACATTATTAAAAATAAAATATTAATTTTAATTTAAAAACGTATAATGGCTTTATGAGATAAGCAAAAATGATAAAATTAACATTTTTTGTATAAAAATGTTAATTTTAACACGTTTGCATGTTTCAGAAAATCCTATACATTTTTAAGGTAAAATTAACATTTTATTTTTAACAGTGTATTTGTAAAATATCTTTTCTTAACTTAATTATTTTAGATTTATTATTTTTTCTTTTTTAAGAGAGAAATGTTTCATTCATATTTCTAATCGCTAAAGGTTTCAATTCCTATTATAGTAAGAAACTATGCGAAGCGAGATGAGAATTTAACGCGAATGAATTAATCCGTCTCTTGAATGAATAGCGTGTACAAAGCAGCCTATTACTCGATAACTGATGAATTGAACGTTACGCAAACATTTATCGTGTTTATCATGTTTCAATCGCGATTGAGCCGTTTCTATCGATTGAGATGTCGACTTCTATAAAGGGATTTATTTCGCTAATGGAGAACACACACACAGTTTCTGCGATTGTCGAAGGCGCCTTGTACCGTACTTGAGTTACTGAACCTGCAGCGGACAGTAAATTCAAGATTTTACAAACGCTTCTTTGTTCCTAGCAACCTAACCTTCACGGGTTGCGCAACATATGGCTCTTACAATGAAAGATCATCCATTTTAAAATTTTCCTTAGAGATAAATAATCCACATAGTCACTCGTGACGATTGAACCCGAACTCAATACTTTGGAAATATATTTACACATATTGCACGATAGATTCACATACACGTGTATTGTGAATAACAGATCAATAAATAAAAAGAAAAAGAAGAAAAAGCAAGAAGATACATTTTAAGAAAAAGAAAATAAAAATTAGATTCATATGTATCTGACAGATGGAGTAGGATAGCAAAACCCATTTTTTATTTATGTCTTTTACTTTAAAAAAAAGTTCGGAAATTGTGGTGTATCTACCATTGAAAATTTTTTAATGTGCAAAATAATATACATAAATAGCGTGAATAATTTTATTATGACGTACTGCAATCGTATGTGATATTGTTATTGAATAATTTTTATAAAATCTTTAAGCTGCCAGGAAAATTTGTTTAATTTTAAGAAAAATAAAAATAAGAATTAGATCTATTCACACATATATATATATATATCTTTTTTTATAAAAAGAGTAGAATATTAGAAACAAACTCATTTTTTGTTTATAATCTATCTTTTAGGCTGAGTTATTTCATCTTTCGATAAACTTCAGCTCACTGTCTTACTCTCTTACTGTCTTATGCTCTTGCTCTTTTATTCTTTTGTCCCAAAGTAAATTATCACATATGTAGTTTATCCAAAGATAGAACAACCGGCCCTTAGTTAAAAAAAAGTTTCGAAATTTTTGTTGCATTTCTATGCCATTGGAAATATACTAAAGAAAATTAACATATAAAACGGTACATACGGATATATATATATATATATATATAACGTGGATATTTTTATTATGACGTACCATAATTGTATTTGGTATCGTTAATGATTAATTTGTAAACAAATCTTGAGGATGTCAATATTATAATATAATTATATATCATTATTGACTAATTTCTAAAAAAAACTTCGGGATATCATGAAGATTTATCACTATACATATTCCAATTGAATGTCTTTGTTAACTTAAAATGGTAAAAGTGGAATATGAAATTATACTAAAGGAAAAATTTATTCTACTTGGTTATTCAAAAAGCAATCGTGCAGCCGGGCGATGGCGGCTTATTTCAACTTGGGTTTTACGAGACATCAGAATAGAAACTGCGTGGGGACTCGAAGATTTACCATAAAAGATCTGCCAGACGCTTTGATCTCGGCTCGCAGAAAGCGGATTAGACCGTCGATAAATTTAAATATATCAGGTTTATCCCGATGTGTGTGCCACGCTATCGTTAACGATCCCGAAGGAATCAGGGTCGGCGAAAGGTCAGCCGGTTCTCAGTTTAAAAATGAGCTCGCGATTCTTCTGAATTTCGCTTTTAGATATGACTCTGGTGCTATCTGCGAAAATCGAGTCTTCAATTTCTAAATCTCTTATCAGATTATTATATTGTTTACTCTGTAGATTTTTGTTTTTAAATAGTGTTTTAGTCTTATCTGAAAATCCTATAACAGAATCTGGACACGAGCGATTTTGTCAAAATCTTTATCTAGAGAGAAAGATATATATATATTATATATCTTTCTCTCTAGATAAAGATTTTGACAAAATCGCTCGTGTCCAGATTCAGAAATTAAATAGCACGTACCTATATAGGAAGACTATATAGGTACGTGCTATTTAATTTCTTATCATACCATCTTACTTTATAACCTTAATTAAGGTTATAGAGTGAGATAGAATATATTCTTCTCTTTCTACTTTTCTTTTTATAGAATTTTGACAAAATTACTCGTGTCTCTGTTGTAGAATCCCTAGTCTTATCTATGTCTCGATACATTTATTTATTTAATAGTTACTTAATACAAATTTTATGCGTCTGAAATTATCTGTGATTATCAAAGTTGCAGATGTATCTGAAGGCATTAATTTTTATATAAGTGGAGGATCACCCAATTGGATCACCCAATTGCGATTACTCATTACGACCATTACTCTGCGTTGAAGTGTACGGATCGTATTCACGGCGTGATAAAGATAACCTTGGGCAGGATGTTAGAGGGATACACGTCCGGAACATGCACGATCGTCCTCGATAATTCTCGGAATTGAGTGTCCGGGCTTTACGAGCGACAGGTCAAAGGTCGCCAGCATCTCTGATCGTCGCCGAGAATTCGTCTGTCCGCGTCCACGAGTAACCAGATTGCGAAAATTCCGCGATAAAAGCCTCCGAGGTCGTCGACATCGTTGTTTATTCTATTTTCAAGCGTATACTCAAGGATTTCGTTGGTAACACGCTCGTGAACTGATAACCGATGGCTCGGCTATTGTAAACTAGACCACTTTTGCGATAGCGTAGGGAAATTTTTCTCGTTTCACCACGCCGGCGAGTAATCGCTCTACTTACGCGACGAATAATTGAATTTTACATACATATCTGTCCCATATATTGGGTCATTTCTGCGAATTACTTGATAACGCATAATGACGCAACCTTTTCAGAATCGAGTATTTATTAACATTTTGTTCTTCAGCGCAATATTAAATAATCTCACGATTTTCGTTTATTTTGTAATTCCATTACGTTGTATGTATTTGCATATAGTGTGTTTGCATATAATGCGTTATAAGTAAAACACTATTCTTTTCAAGATAAAATTCTTTACGTCGCAGAACTACGTCTGAACACTCGTTACATTATCGTACGTTGTCGCTCTTATTGCAATAAAAATATGATGAGATTCGACGCTGTTTACGCGGATGGAATGATATTCCGGACTGAAAAGCTCGTCGAAAAGATTGAATGAGTCTTCAACACATACGTTATTTGGAGGTCGTTACACTGATGATGTTTTCGACATCCTACGTAACTTTACGAGGCTACTCGCGATTGAATATGTATATAAGCTGGTATGCAATATGGATTTTCACTCGGTCGTATTTTATATTCCGGTTTATGTACGCATAGAAGAGAAAAATACAGCGGCATAAATCATTGGAAATTTATTAGAATTTAAATGAAACTTCTATCAGCACGCCATTCCTTTTATGTTTTTGCATAGACGATATTGCAAGATGGAGAGATATCTGTCAAAGGTGTCTGCAACGTAAAAAAAATCTCAAATTGAGCTTTAATTAGAAACAGCTAAATGTGTCAAGAGAAATTCAGATGTAACTCGCTTTACGTTTGTACCACGAAGTACTCGTAA